TATTCTCTCCCTCCACCATGTTTCTCCTGCCAACAGGATTCCTGGGGTGGAGGCCTCAGGGAGGGGCAGGGCCTGGCTGCCTGCGTTTTCAGATCCCCCCAGCCCTCCCCCAGCAGGGAGCGAGCCTACTGAAGCAGCCTCGCCCTAAGGAGGCACAGCCTCTGTCTGCATCAGCAGCAAACAGCTTCCCTTGCACCTCAAGAGGAAGTGTTAATGAGAAATGCAGTGGGGAAGGGCTGGGCCCGGCCCGTTGTAACAGTTTGCTCCTTTTGGCTCACAGGGTTGAAGAGTATTAAAGGAGGAAGGCGCCTTCTTGAGGATAGGACAGTTAACGCTAATAAAGAATGCCTGTGCACTTGTACCAGTCAAATAACAGAGTGCCACCGCGGGCACTTCTAAGGCGGGACTCCCACAAGAGTGCAGCTGTCAGAATGGGGACAGGCAGTCCACCCCATGGGTCAAGGGTAGTGTTGGGGGCTACAGAAAGATAAGGGCTAAGGTTTGCCTCCTGTGGCTGAGGCCCCTAAGAATGACCCAGCCCCTAACTTTGCACCCAGTTGCAAAGCAAAGCTCCTCCCCCATGTATCTCTGAGGGAGGGAAAGATGCAATATAGCCCCAGGTTTGCCCAGGGGGTAACCAAGCCCTGATGAGGTGAGGCAGGGGTACCCTGGGGCACCGTCCTGCTTGAGTTAAGCCTTTGCCCATCCACAACCTTCCCCTGTGAGCAGTAAAGAAGGATTTCTTGTCAAGCACTATCCCTCGACTGCAGTGCAGGCCTCCATTGTCCCTAGCCCTGCCCCATCTCACATCCTTGCCCCTTTCTGTGGCACAACCCACAGGCTGAAGAGGAGAGAGACTCTGGAGGCCTCGGGTCAGAAACCAGAGCCAGGCAGGAAAGAATAACATAGCAACCATGAATGTCTGTTCAGAACCACCATGTGCACACCCAACGTCAGCACTGAAATAACAAGGCTGCAGGGAATGCGAAGAAGGAAGAACAAACATTGTCCCTGCCCACGTGGAGCTGAGTCTGGGAAGGTGGGACAAGCCCTGGCCAGTGTAGCTCAGTTGGTTGGAGCATCGTCATCCGTATACCAAAAGGTTGTGGGTTTGATCCCAGGTGGGGAATGTACAGAAAGCAACCAATCGATGTTTCTCTCTCCCATTGATGCTTCTCTCTCTCTCTCTCTCTCTCTCTCTCTCTCTCTCAATTCAATAAGCATATCTTCAGGTGAGGATTAAAAAAGTAAATGAAATAATAAAAAGGTGGGAGCAGTAGACAAAGCTGCTACCAGTAAATAAAGGCAATGCAGGAAAGTATTCAGTGGGAGTGACTGTCCTTGCAGCCAGGACTGTGGGACAGTGGGGTTTGGTTGGTCACCAGTTTTTGTTTTGCTGAGGGGACATCATGAGAGAGGAGACCGGAACCCATGGGTTGAGAGGACCAAGGAAGAGAAGGCTGAGGAAAAAGAGAGAGTATCTGGCAGCTTTGGAAGAGAGAAAATTTGAGGAAAACAGAGAGACTTTTAAATGGGATTTAACAGAAATTTTGACCCACAGGCACTAAACCTTTCATGAAACCTACCTGACTATCAATATTTTGAAGTGAATGAATGTCAGGGCCCAGCAGTGGATTGCGGTCAGCTCAGAGGGCCGGAGCTGGGGTGGGCCAGTGGGGTCCCGGCACTCCTGGGTTACAGCAGGAGGTTCGGTCGGGGTTCCCAGAAGGGGCAGCGGCTGGGGGCTGGGGCTGGGTCAGCTGGGAAGGGACTGCTTTGCGGGGCCTGGAAAGAAGGCTCGGAGAGAAGGCGGAAGGCTCCGAGAGTAGGGGGACCCTGATAAGAAAAAATTGTAAGATGGTGTGAAACCGATGGGGAAGCCTCAAGTCCTGGACAAGTGAAAGGATTTATTCAGGTGGGAGGAAGGGGAGCACAGGTCACGAATTCTAATCTCTTTCCGTCTGTGTGTCAGTGAATTTGACTGGCCTCACAAAAGAGCTGGGTAGATTATTTTTTTAATTTTTTTTTTTTTTATCCTCACCTGAGAACATTTTTTTATTTTTTGTTCAGAAAGAGTGGGAGGGAGAGAGAGAGAAAGAGAGAGAGAGAGAGAGAGAAACATCGAGGTGAAAGGGACACATCGAGTGGCTGCCACCTGCATGACCCAACCAGGGCCAGGGACAAACTGCAACCGAGGTACGTGCCCTTAGCAGGAACCGAACCCGGGTCTCTCTGGACCGCAGGCCGATGCTCTAACTGCTGAGCCAAACCAACCAGGGCAGCTGGGTAGATTATTTATCATCTCTCACTTAGGCTGATAGGTTGCCCCTGACAGGGCTTCTACCTCCAGTCTCTCCTTCCCTCCAATGTGTCTTCCACATACAGTGACATTAAAATCATCTTTGAAAAGTCCAGTTCCCATGGTTTCATTCCTATCTAAAATCCTTCAATGACCATTTATCACTTCCCCACCTCTCCCCCCACCACCACCGGAATTAGGCAAACTCCTAAGCAGGGCATGCAGCCCCATGCATCAGGCTCCATCCACCTTCCCAGCCTCATCCATGGTCACTTCCCCCACCCCTCACACTCATCACAATGAACTACACATAGTTCCTCTAACACCACTTGCCTTGTCACACCTCAGGGTCTTTGCATATACTTTCCTCCCTTTTCCTGGAGTATTTTCCCCACCTCCATTGCTAACACCCCAGAGCCTTCTGTGACCCTCTCTTCCCGTTACCATAGTCCCACAGGACCTTGTATATAGCACTAGGCTGGCCCTTCCATGTTGTATCATTACCATGATCCTCATGTGTTTATGTGTCTGTGACTAGTGAAAGGGCAGGACCAGATCGCATTCCTTGTCACCCAGCACCTGGCACAGCGCCTAGCTCATTGTTGGCATTCAGAAAACGTTTACTGAGTGACAGAATTTGTAACCCAAAAGGGCCTACATAGAAGATACCTTTTGGGGACTCTGTCTAGCTGACAAAGACCCCCTTTTTTCTAAAAACTGCCCCCAAACACTAAGTGGATCATAGGTGGACATCTGACCTGAGCTGGGCCCAGTGGACTCTCAGGAAAGTGGAATTAACTCCAAGAGAAGCAAATTTGTTTCTGGAACCACAACATGTGGACTTGGGAATGTGAACTTTGTGAGACATGCTTACTCCATTTAAACTGGAGCGTAGAGAAAGTGACTCCTTAGAGAAAGAAAAGGAAGCAGCCAGATAGAATTTCAGATGGCGTTCTGACTTCCAAGTCCAGCCCTCTCCTGAGACCATGTTGGAGTCCTGTCCTTAGGTTCTGGGAGACACCCTGTTTAGCAATAACCGGTCCCCAGATTTGTGTTTGGGCTTCACAGGATTTCTGTTCCTTATACAATCCTTACCGCAGAAGCCAACCTTTGCCCTGGGAGAAGTTATGGGGCTTTTTCTCTTCAGAAAACTTTGATTTTAATGTGTACATTACACTGGGGCATAGATTAGCCTCTAAGTCACCACGGCCGTGCAGAACTGGCCAGTGATGTGCAGGGCCCACTGGGAAAGGAAAACGTGGTACCTTTGTTCAGCAAGTGCAAGGAAAGTTACTAAACTATAAAGCTTTGTGCTTTTCTCTACAGTGTCTCTTTTGATTTGTCATGGCATGTATTTGCTGTGTAATGTCTAAGTAAATAAAAATTTTAAATCATGAGCATGAATTGTATTATTTATCTTTGTATTGTGCAATGCCCATATGGAGAAGCACCAAAATTACAGTCTGCATTTCTTGACTCTTCTCAGAATATTCATCAAGAGGTAACCCCAAGTCTCCTGAGCTGTTTGATGGCGAACTCCGTCAGGCACAGGGATACTTCACAGGGCAAGCGCAGACCCTCACAGGGTCCCTGAAGTTCCCACCCTGAGACTCAGGCCCAGCAAGCCTGACCACCATCGTGTCCTCTTTCCACAGATGTATGTGCTGAGTCCTGGCTGCGGTCAGGGAAGTCCAGCCAGGCAGCTCCCACTATAGCAGTCTGGCTGACCTAACCCACGGCAGACAAGTGAACCCAGGGTCTTTAAACCTCCGCACCTGGATGTGCTCAGTGTCTGGTGGGTGATGTGCTCACCCTCACTGAGTCACCTGCTGTATGTGCCACGGAGCCGCCAGCCAGGCAGATGGCCACTATTATTATGCCTAGTCATAAGACCCTGTAGAGTATGTACACCTCACCCTGACCCTCCCTCCATGCACACCAGGCCCTCGCCAGGGGCAGAGGGCAGCAATGTTCCCTGGGTGAAGGAGGAGAAAAGTGGGGCCCAGGGAGCTGGGAAGTAGTGGCCAAGAACCCATCCCAGGAGGTGAGGAGGCTTTGGGAGTTGGCACCATGTGTGAGCCAAGGCTCCAAGCCATTGGAGCGTGCTCCAAAGTCCCCTGGGGCTTCCCTTACTAAACATATTCAAAGATAAAATTAAGAATTTCCAGGCAGTGGCTACAGAGCATTAAACCCCAAGCTCCAAGCCCTCTGAGCACGGAACCCTGTGTGACTGCACTGACTACAATGCCCATGGAGTTGACCCGTAGACACAAGGAAGATCTCTAAATCTCTTTCAGCAACAGAAGTACAGGAAGTTGAAACAAAAGAAGAAAAACACACTTCACATACATATCAAAGAAATTTAGAGCACTCAGACTCATAAGCCAAACATACCACTCACATCTCAGCTTGAGGATGAGCTAAGAACACACGTCTCGTCTTCACTCCCTCCAACCCAGACTGCAGAACTGCCCAGAAGCTGTGGTGTGTATGGATGAACTGGACTTAGATCTCTAAGCATTCAGTCAGGCTTTATTTCACGGTATAATGCCATTAGCCACTCAAAGGGTATTTCTTGAGAGAACGGAGAATAGTATCAGAGCAACAAAGAGGAGGAAACATGACTAGTTAGTTTCCTTTGCCTTAATGACTTATGCTTTTATGGCTCAGCAATTCAACATGAGCTTCATTTCCCAGAGGTTTATATTAAAAACTTCCTGTTGGGATTGGCTCCAAATAAGGCCTTTCGTATTTCTGGCATCTTTTGCTGGGCTAAGAGATCCAGTCGACTCTCTAGGGTATTGGAAACCTTTATTCTCTGATTGCCGCTGTAGACCTCCACACCTCCCGCTGCATTCATCGCCAGGTGCACGTCTCGGTCAACTTGGACTTTCACATGTTTTTGAGAGACGGTCATGTATTCAGGGATGGCTTTTTGCACTGCAGCCTCAACCAGGAGATGGTCCTGTGGCCTGCAGCGTACAATCATCACTGGCTCCAGCAGTCGGAACAGAGCCTGTAACACCAGTTTATACAACAGCTCCTGGTAGACTTCTGGGTCTGCCACAATCCTGGTGAGCCTCAGCTTCACATCACTCAGCAACTCTGAAACGAGGTCATTTCGGGCTTTCAGGACATTCAGCCTTGCCTGATTCCTCATGGTGGACATCTGGATTTTCTTCTGCTGCTCTATCTGCTTTTCCTTTTTCTCATAATACTCCATGATCTTCAGTCGTTGGGTTTGCACAAGGCGTCCCTTCTCAATGTTGAATTCTTCCTCAGCCTTGGCATCTATTTGTTCTGCCTTCTCAATGGCTTCCTGCTCAATGAAAGCCATCATGTGTTTAATCCGCTTCTGCACATCGACGTCATTCAGGGCCATGGCTGCTCCTGGAAAGGGACAGCTGGCAGACCCTCTGGTTCCTTTGATTACGGCAGAGTTTCAGGAGAGGCTCCAGAGTTCCACTTCCTTAGCTGTGGAGTGTGTAGGGGGAGGAGGGAGAGAGTCAGCGCCCAAAGGGGAGGATCCTGGAGACCATCTATCCACTGCTCCTTTCACAGATGAGGAAACTGAGACCCGGAGAGGGAAAGGACCTATCTGAGGTCATACCTTAGAGGAAGAAAGACTTGAACCTCGGTTCCTAGAGTTCTCTCTTTACTACACTCACCACCTTTTGTCATGAGTAATAATGAGACAATTCGGGCAGACCTGGCCCAGAAGTTTTCTAGTCAGTTATGGTTCAATACTCAGGAAACCATTACTGATACCATGGAAATAAAAATAATTATATAATAAAGAGACTATTATGAACAATTATATGCCAACAAATTGGAAAACCTAGAATAAATGGATTAATTCCTAGAAACATACAATCTACCAAGACTGAATCATGAAGAAATAGAAAACCTGAACATATCTATAACTAGTAAGGAGATTAAATCAGTAATTAAAAACCTTTCAACAAACAAAAGCCCAGGACCAGATGGCTTTCTCGGAGAATTCTACCAAAAATTAAAATTAAAAACTAATGCCAATCCCTGTCAAACTCTACCCCCCAACCCTGCCCCCCAAAAAGTGAAGAGGAGGAAATGCTTCCAAATATATTTTTCTGAGGGCTACATTACCTTAACGTCAAAGCCAGACAAATACACTACATGAAAACTATAAGACAATATCCCTGATGAACATAGATGTGAAAGTTCTCAACAAAATATTTGCAAACCATATATTTGATAAGGGATTAATATCCAAAGTATATAAGAAACTCCTACAACTAAACAACAACAACAACAAAATTAAGGAATAGACATTTACCCAAAGAACACATACAAATTCTCAAAAGTTATATGAGAAAATGCTCAATATCACTAATCATCAGGAAACTGAAAATCAAAACCACAATGATATAGCACCTGACATTTGTTAGGATGGCCATTATCTCCCCCTACGCCCTGAAAAAAAGCAGGAAAAAAATGTGTTGGGGGAGGATGTGGAGAAATTGAAACTCTTGTGCAATATTGGTGGGAATGTAAAATAGTGTAGCAGCTATGGAAAACAGCATGGAGGTTCCTTAAAAATAGAAACTACCATATGAAACTACCAGCAATCCCAATTCTAGGTATTTATCCCAAAGAATTGAAAATAGGACCTCAAAGAGTTATTTGCCACCCTCCCCCATGCTCGTTGCACTTTATTCACAAAAGCTAAGAGGTGGAAACAACCTAAGTGACATTGAGAGTTAAATGGACAAAGAAAATGTTGTATATACATACAATGGGATATTATTTTGCCTTAAAATATGACAAGGATATCCTGTCACATGCTACATCATGGATGAACCTTGACATTATGCTGAGTGAAATAAGCCAGTCACAGGACAAATACTGCATGATTCCACTTACATGAGGTATCTAAAGCAGACAAATTCACAAAAGCAGAAAATAGAATGGTAGTTGCCAAGGGCAAAGGGGAGGGGAAGTTGGGGAGTTGATGTCAATGGGTAGAGAGTTTTAGTCATGCAAGATGAAAATGTTCTGGAGATTTGACGTTCAACAATGTGCATACAGTTTACAATACTAACAATATTGTACTGTAACTTAAAAATTTTTTAAGAGGGTAGATTTAATGTTATGTGTTTTTTAACATAATAATAATAATAATTAAAAAAATGGAATGCTGTCCCAGAAAGATGTACCACTCACCAAGCTTGGTGGGAAATGACCCAGTGATGGTGACAAAGACCAAGACTTTGGGTTCAGCCTTACAAGCTGCTATTGGAAACTAAAAAGAAAATTCCTCCATTAATGTAGGATGCAATTTTTTAAAAATTGCACTTCTCTAAATGGGGCAAAACATTTTCTGCTCCTAAATAAGACAGGTAAATTAAATGGGTAGGGGAAAAAAAAGCCTGGGTAACCCTGCTGGTCACCACCTTTGGGAGCCACTGTCAATGAGAGCAGAGAGTCGGAGATCCAGGAAGCCCCAGGTTATGTGTGTCGGAGAAAACATGTACCAGATGAACCCTTACCAGTCCACTGCCAAGGGCCAGCTTTTGCTCTGGCGCCTGGAGTCTGCAGGCGGAATGTGGAACTTGGAACACACACTGGAACCTGGCACTGTTTCCTCCTTCTTTCTGCAGATGACCCTCGCAGTCTGCCCAGGCAGCTTAATCCAAAGATCCAGGCTGTCACTGGGGAAGGCTGGCCAAGTCTGCAAGAGGAGGCCAAGAGGGATTTCCTTGGCACACAGGCCATGCCGGGGGCTCCTCTTACATGCTCAGAATCTCAATTAATTTGGCACATGGTGGGCTTCAAGTCTGGGGTGGGCTTACCATAACCAAGCCATCAGAAATGGATACGTGTGTGAACCAGGCAGGCCAGTTTATTAATTCACTAATGAAAAATACAGCTGTCCCGTTGGCAGATCCTAGTCTTTTTCCCTGTATGTGACTCACATAGGAAGGTGATCCAAAAGCGGTTTAATGAGAAACCAGAGCAAGCAAAAATTGCCAGCTGGTCTTTAAGAGGGCCACACCCACCACAAGGGTTGGCCCGCTCTAGCAGTGAGGAGGACATCCTTTCCAGGCCTGGACCCGGCTGACCCGGGCAGCGCAGGCTTCCATGGGATGGGCTCTGAAATTCAGATCCTAGTGCTGCCCAAAGTTTTGTATGACTTTGGTAAAGCGGCTCACCCCTTGAAGCCTCAGTTTCCTCATCTGTATAATGGAAACAATAGCATCCCCGTCATAGGATTATTGTGAAGATGAAACAGAAGAAATAACTGTTTAGCATAATCCTAGGCATATAGTTAATATCATTACTACTGTGCTACGATTACTACCGTTATCGTCTCTGCTCTGCTTCAGGCCTCCTTCCTCCTCACAGTCACTGTGTACACAGAGTACCCGTAACTGATTTGGTTTCCACTCCCTGAAGTAAGTGGAAACACAGCCAAGTCTTGCCTCCTTGTATTAAACTTAGTAGCCCTGCCCAGAGTTTGGGAAGCTCCCAGCATGTCATGCCATCTTCACCCACAGTCTCAGGTGGCCAGCCACATCCTTGGTGACGGTGGGTGAAGTCCCCGGTTTCCAGGGCTCCGGGGCTTGGGTGGAAGACCTCATAGGCTATCACCCGTCACCGTCCTGAATTTCAGTCCTGAGTTCTCCTGCCCCCTCCCGTACTCTCATTTCTCAACAGCTGATGGGTGCAGGAACTGCAGGCAGCTGCAAGGTAGGCAGGGTTAAAACCCAGGATTGAGCAGGTGTCTCTGCAGGCATGCGGGTGCCTGTGTAATGTGTCTGGCAGATGTAACTTTTAGTCTGTCTGGGATGGGGATTATGAGGCCACATGGGCCGGTGGCTTGAGCAAAACAACAAAACAAACCGAGAAATGTGAATCCCACATGTCTGCTCTTGCCTGAGAGCCCATAGCCCTCCATTCCAATGAGGCAGGCTTATGCTAAAAGTGGCATCCACCATGACCATGTTGGGGGCGGGCGGCAGCATCTAGGGCTCTTTAAGACAGCCTTATCCTGTAAACTATTCAGTACTAGGGTCTTTTCATTGCCCCCCAACCACACCAGGCTCCACCCCACCCAACAGCTTCTGCTCATACCATTCTCTCAGCTAAAATGCTCTTCTCTGCATCTCTCCATTTACCTAAATCCCACCTCTATTTTCAGGCCCAGTTTGAACCCCGCCAACTCCTTGACCTCTGGACTCCTCCTCAAAGTAATGACAGCATGGTTATTTCTCAGATACAATTCAGAGCTGGGTTCAGTCTTATTTTTTCAGTGACTTTGCTTCTTCCAGGAAATTCCTTGAAGACGAGAATCTCCTTCACTAGCAGGGGTGCAGAGAGGCATGGGTTAAAAATGAATTGCTAAGATTACGAGCTGAGGAAGGAGCCCTGGCCAGTTTGGCTCAGCAGTTAGAGCGTCAACCCGCAGACCAGAGAGACCCGGGTTCGGTTCCCACTAAGGACATGTACCTCGGTTGCAGTTTGTCCCCGGCCCTGGTTGGTCGTGTCGGTGGCAACCAGTTGAAGTGTCTTTCTCACATCAATGTTCCTCTCTCTCTCTTCCCCCTTTCTCCCTTCCACTCTATCTGAAGATAAATGCAAAAATGTCCCCGGGTAAGGATAAGAAAAAAAAAAAGAGCTGAGAAAGGTGCAGGACTTTCTTTTTTCTCTTTTTTTAAATTGTGAAATATAATATAATATAATATAATATAATATAATATAATATAATATAATATATATGTAAAACTGTATAGAGCTTAAATGTATGGCTTAATGACTTATTATGATATACAAATATCCTGCAACCACTGCTCAGGTCAAGAAATAGAACATTGCCAGCGCCCTAGAAGCCCCACCTTATGACATGGGGAAGACATTTCAAAACTGATGATTTTGTATTTGTGGGCCTTGGAGAGTCTTTAGAGGAAGTGTGAGCTTGGAAATCTCTCTTCATTAGCCCTCACCCTCGCCGAGTGAGCCCGTGTCAGCCCTGGAGAAGAAAGTGTGAATCCACAGCACCACTGAGAGAGAGCAGGGACTGGCAGAAATTCCTGGTGGGCAAAACACGTCTGTAAGTCTGGAGCCCTGCCCAGACCCTGAAGCAACTGGTCTTCATTCCAGCTAGGATTTGTAAGCAAGTCTAAGAGCAGGCGTCTGGGTGTGGGCTCCCTACCCCTGGCCAAAAGACAGGCAGCCCAACCTGGGCCTCCAGACACTTAGAGATTGCATAGTGAGGAAAAGAAGGAGTTTCCAGAGCCTGGAGCATGAGGCAACTTGCAAAGCCCAGGAAGTGGGTGAGGACATATGGAGGAACACTGACTCCTTTGGGGGATTTCAAATGCTAAATATGTGGGAAGGGGGCATCCCCTTTTTTGTCTCTCAACAAATGCTTGATGACCAGATATGATGTGCCAAGCACTATGTGGG